TTTTCCCCCCTGTGTGTCCTTCTGTTAATCTTTTGCTCCTGACGGCCCGGGCGGTGCGAGGAGTCGGCCGCTGCTGTGTTCAGGGTTAAGGGCAGCGTTTCGTGGTGCGAAGTTGTGAGAAATGAACCCACGTTGAAATATCTTTTTTTGGGAAACGTAACGCGAGAGTGAAGTTTGTTTCATCGGGAGTGATTTTCGGCAGCTGTCGCCGAGTGAGCGTTACCCTGCAGTGAAGTGCTAGTAAATGAGCTTAATTAGCTGACTGCTTAAAAGCCTGTCTCTTTTACAACCTGATCTCGACGTATTTCTCGGGAAGACTTAGGCTCAGTTAACAAAGTAAGTGTTTCCAACTTGGTAGAACGGTGAGACTGTGCAAAGCACTTAGTGGAAGCTGAAGCAGAGAGAGGCTGTTACTTTTTTACTACTTTTGTCCTCTTCATGGCATTCTTGTGGGCAGTGCCTGCTGACATACCATGTGCTGCTTGAAGGCAGACCACCCCTAAATTGTGCAAGATTTTGAACAATCTTATACCCTCAGCAGTAGCCTGAGAAAGTCTGAGATGATTTATTACCTTCAAGAGGTGAGTTAACTCATTGCAGTTGGCTTTACATTTGTGTCTCTGGTGTCATCTGTGCTGAAAGGTTTAAACGGATACTTTCAACTTCAGCCTGTCTGGCCTCACATAAACTCACTGAAACAATAAACTTCAAAGCAAATAAAGCTCTGAATTGACTTCAGGATTGTCTTTTTTAAAAATTGTATTATTTTCTTGTGATCATACCTAAGTTTGAAAAGGGATGTGTAAAAGAAAAAATGAGGCTAAAGCACAGATGCAGAGTAATCGGATTATTTATGCATCAGCTTTCCCTGAGAGGTCTGTGAAAAAATAAGTAAGAAGTTTGTATTTTGGCGCATATTTGTTGTTGTTGCAGATTATGTATTCAGAGCACCTGGATCAGTCTGGTTGATCAAGTCTTGTGTGGGACAGAGGAGACTTCTGACGTGGTTTCCCTGTTGTTTTGCTGAGCAATAGATTGTTCCAAGATAGTTAAAGCTTGGCTCAAAAGTCAGTATTCTTTTTCTCTAGTAACAACTAAAGGTTAATGAGGTGTCAGGGAGCCTCCCATTGCTTCTTAAAACATTAATTGGAACACTCTGCGTTGCTGCTGTCGATATTCTTATGGTAGAGAGATGTCCATTAAACTTTTTGTCTCAAAAAACCACCCAAGCCTCACGGCTGGTTGTGTGCGTGAGCACAGACTGCTGTGCCAGCCAGCTCTTGCGTGTTTGAGCATTTATCAGTGTCTGGATCATTCAGGAGAAGTTGCCAGGCATTGGGCTGCAATGTTGATTTCTCCCTAAAATCTGCCTCCAGGCTTCCTTATGCAAGAAAGTAATTGTGATAACTTTCTTACTGCTTCATTCTTTCATTGTACAACCATGTTTTGTTCACAAAATATCACTCAGGCCTCGTGATATGCAGAGAAACGAGGCTTTTCGTGGTTAGCCACAGGCTGATGGAGCAGTAATATGATTTTTATTGTTTTTCTGATTCAACCTATCTACACCCAGTAGAGTTCAGAGCGTGTAGCTGTGTGAGTTTAATGTTCCCAAAAGGCTGGCCCCCTAAGATTTTTGTGAGAGGGAATTTAACAGCAATGAAAGTGTAAGCGTAGTGCTGCTGGAGCAGCCCCTCAAACGGTGGAGGTGAAGCGTCGCTGCTGCAGCGTTTCTGATGGGTAGATGGACACAGTCGGTAACGTGGTGCTTGGCACCTGACACTACGTGTCGTTTTGTAGTTCATCCAGTACGGTTTTGGGTGTGTTTTCTGTCATAGGGGCCCTCTGGATTGATTAAAGTCGGTGATCTTTAGTGCATGAGAGGTGCTTGGCGGTGAAGTGGTTTGAGAATCAGTAATTTCTCCACGTTGCAGGAAAGTTGTGTGACTTCGGGTTTTGTTCAGGGGGTGGTTTATTTTGTGTTGTTATTATGGGTTTATTTTATTTTTGTTAAGGGGCCTTTTGTCAGTTCCCTTTAGAAGTGGTGGAACAAATCTCAGCGAAGGAACCATCTATGAGGAATAAAGCCCTGAGACAGGGAGTTAACACAAAACAGCTATGGCATTGTGAATGCTCACCACAGCTTATTTTCTACTGACAAGTGCCCTTTGCGCACGTAGTCGTCGGCATTCTCTGCAGATCCTGTTGAAAGAACGTGACTGCTTGTGAAAGTGAGCCAGTACTTTTAAGTTTACTGGGATATTTTCATGGTTTGTCGTCTGTAATCTAAAGTGCTTTGCGGTGGCACTCGGCAGAGGAATTTAAAATTGGAAAGCACGTTAATCGTTACTCCTCCCTCACGTTTACAGACAGAAGTAATGCTGTTGCAGTGTTTAAAAGTTTCAGTTACGTTGGAAAGAATGGCAAATCGTTTTCAAGTTTAGGAATCTTAAGCAGCATGTAAGTTAATAAAACAACTTGGAATCTGATTTCACACCGTCTTCGTGGTTGTGACTTTACGGAAGCCTGTGAAAGTTTTACTGGTAAATTTAGGTTTGTCTGTAATGATATTCTAATTTATTTTTTCTGTTTTCCTATTATAGCAGGAAGGTGAATTTTCTTAAATGTCCTCTTTGCAGTTGTTGGTTGCCATCGTTACCTTTTTCAGAGCAAATGAACTGTACTTCTTGCACCATTCTTACTGGTTTTATTCTTTTTTTAGAAGAGTTTTTTGATTTTTTCTTTCTAACAGTAAAACCATGTACCCTCAACAAGTTTTTAATTCTTATTGCTATATACCTCTTCTCTCAGTCAGAGTTCCTCTCAAAACCAGAGAGCAAGCAAGAAATTTGCCACTTAAAGTGAGAGAGAGCAGGATGAGATACGGATTCCAGGCTCTTGTTGAAAGATGTTGAAATCATAAGCACGACATATGTTGAGTCACATCATACCGAGTCATGAAATGTAATCCTGCCCGCTGTTGCAAGAGGAGGAAAAGGCTGTTTAGTTTCTCAATAAGTCTTTTTTTTTTCACGTTGGCAATAAGCTATATCAACAAAGCTTAAGATTACACCGAATTTACTTGTGCCTGTCTGTCAGCCTGTGCCAAATACGCCGCCGCCTTGCAGTTCTCCTCGGGATGAGTTTTTTATTTGGTCAGGCGGTACCACAGATTCCTGGAAACTGGTTTTTAGCTGAGTTCACAAGTGAAAGCCAAATCCAGACGTGCAGTTCGTGAGTCTGCGACACTTCTTTGGTAATTTTTGTGTAATAAGGAGACACTTCAAAGGTCTCTGTTACTTTAGGGGTTGAATTATTTCACAATAAGTGCTGGATGGGGATTGTGTTTATCATGCTGAGAACTAGTTTCATAAATGGCATGTTCCCACTTTTCTGACACAATAGGACACTCAATTGTCTGACATTAGAGGGTCTAGAATTACTTTTGAGTCATTTTTGGACAGCCCAGGTGGATTTTAATGAGGTGAACATTAGGGTGGTAAAGAGAATTTGTTCTGGATAACTGAAATCTGGATGTTCAGACTTGAGTTCCGTTACCAAAACCTTTGAGTTCCATTTAATGTAAAGAAATCCTAGGGTTTGGGATTGGAGATTGGAATTGGGATTATAAATTGACTATTTTTAATATTTGCTTTTAATGGTTTAATTAATTATTCTTATTTTTTTAGGTATTACTTGTGGTCGTACACGCATTCCTGTTTTAGGAAAACTTGGGACTTTTGAAACTTGTTCCCTGAGACGAATTCCTCTTAGAAACTTTTCAGAAACGCCGGCGTATTTTGCTTCAAAGGATGGTGCAAGCAAGGATGGTTCTGGAGATGGAAGCAAGGTAATCTCATGTACTAGGTTTTTCAATAGATTATATAAACTATTTCTTAAGTGGTTGTAGTAGATTTTTATCCTTACTTAAAATTAGAGTATTTTTGAATATTTTTGCTCATTCTTGACATTTCTAATCCTTTCCATTGCTGCAGGGAAGAAAAATAAATGGTACTGAGAATTCTTTAGCAGACAAACCTAATAAACATCCTGTAATGCTTTTCCCAGTTTTATAAATGGGGGTTTTTGCCTGGTGTAAAGGGACACTTGAAAACTTTGTAGAATGTTTTAAATCCACAACAGGTTTCAGGATCTCAGGAAAGAGTAGTAATCAGAATTCTTCTCCTTCAAAAGCCTGCTACTCCCAGGTAGGCTTTGTAAAGTAAGTACATTTAAAAATATTTTTGGTTTCAGCACAGGTTTGGTAGTTGTATTGAGCTAGGTAAGGTTGTGAGGAGCCTAGTTTTGTTCTTGTTAGTAAATTGCAATCTATTTTCATCCTAGTCTTTCTCTATAATTATAGTTAATAAACAGCTGCTTCAGATAAATGATTACCTGAGGATAAAACTGCTCTTTAGTCAGCAAATAAGATTTTGAAAGTTCACAGGTGATGACTTTGCCTTAGTGGGGCGTGTTGTGACAGCTGAGGAGCTGTCCAGATGACACAGGTGTGTTCTGAAGGTTCAGATTAAACTTGTTTGAAAAATAAAGGAGGAGGATTAAAAAAAATAGTATTTTTTCCTTGAGAAGGATTGTAAGGAGAGATGAGTAGGCAAACAAGATTCAAAAAATACCTTAGAAAAGGGAGGAGTGATCTTTTGCTGTTTCCTAAAATACAGTAGCTTTTCTTATTAATCAAAGTACAGAGGCCTAGAACAGACATAGATTGTAAAAATGTTAACCTTGAGCACTGCTAGTCAGGGTAACGTGGAGAAAGACAAGTTTGTCTCTGTCAGGGAACTCTGCCTTAGAAGTTAAAAAACAAAATATTTCTGAGCAATTTCTGAGCTGCTTGTTTTATAGGCCATGCCTACCCTACAGCCATCTGCCAGCATAGCTACATCTGTCAAGGACGTGAGAAGAGCTGTGGCTTCAGAAACCCTTAGAATCAACACGGTTGCGATAATGAAATTATTCTTTCTATAAGTATGCTTCGTTTCCTTCTCTAGGGTTAGAATAAATTATGCTGAAATATACTATCAAGACGTTCTTGACGCAGTTTAGCTTGTTGTTATTCGAGCAGTTCTAATGTAGGTCCAGGATGCTTCTTCCGTGGGCATCCAAATCAGCAGATGTGTGTGCGCTTCGAAGTGCTTGTATCGAGTTGTTCTTTTTTCAAAGCCTTTAAAAAAATAAAATCCTGACAGTAGTTATTTTGTCATTCAGCTATTGCAATATTCACATTACTGGATTCCGTAAACGTACTGCTAAATGCCTGATGGAACGGCTCCATTGTTTGGGGCTAATTGTCTGGAAATCTTTTTATTTTTTAGAAGTCTGTCGGTGAGGGGGGTGGTAAGAAGTCAAGCTCTGGAAGCTCTGGGAAAGGAGGGAACCAGCTACGCTGCCCCAAGTGCGGTGACTTGTGCACGCACGTGGAGACCTTCGTGTGTAAGTTTTAATGAATCTTTTATTTCTAAAATAGGCACGGATGTGACTGCATTTGTGAACTAACATAGTCCTGATAGCTTAGTTATAGCCTACCTAATTAGAGCACGTAAAATAATTTGTCATGCTTGGTTTGGCCCTGTTGGTGTAAGCATGTGCTGTCTTTGTGGATCCCTTTGTGTAATTTCCCATGACGTGGGGTGGAGCAGAACACAGCAACAGAATTGGGACTGCAGCTGTGAATGTGCAGATTTGCAGTAGTTTGTTAGATGTTATGCGGTGGAAAAGATGCTCACATAAACAATACCATTTTAACTACTGATATTTCTTTCTATCCATTTCATAAGTGTGTACTTAGATATATGTGCGCTTGTAATGCCTCTCCTTTCTTTACTAAATAACAGAACTTTAATCCTGCACGTACTGTGACCAAGGTGCTTATCCAGCAGAGGAATTAGTATGTGACAGATGGTTTGCTAGGATGGTATTTGGCAAAGTCAGATCCATAATACATTCCAAACGAGAGGTTGAAAAGTCCAAATAGAAAATCCAAAATGCAGCGGATGCCTGATGTCCAGCAGCAATAGCTACTGTTTGTTTTTTTTTTTAAAGTACCATCCAAATGAATGCCAGTTATGCTTTACATTCTATCAGGCTTGAGGGTGTTTCTCCTGATTTCAGTGCTAATGAGACCAGGCTAGAAAATAGTCGTCGGAAAGCAAATACCTGTTGTTAGTTGGTGGGGCTCAGAGAGGAAGTATCAAGTCAGAATCAGACTTGTGCACTAAGCAGCTTAAGGGGAGCTCAGCATAAACTCATTCCACAGTTGTTAATATTGTCGTTCATGGAAATAATGAGCGGATGTGCTATTATTTGCTGCTACTCATATAAAACACTGTTTAATAGAAATGGTCAAACATTGGGAATCCCAAGACAGTCCTGTAATAACAATATATTTATTTGTGTTAGTTAAAAGGATCAGTCTTCAGCTACTATTTGTTTTCCCCAGAAATAAGAAGTTTGTGGGATTTTTTTCCTCTTAAAATAGAGACAACAAGGTGTTCTGAAAAATCTGGCACTAGATAATCGAACTAGAAGTACAATCCTATGTGGCATTTGGTACGTTGGCCTCTTCCTGGACTAGGTGTGGTTGACAGTGGAAGGATTTTTAACCTTATTTACCTTCTTATCAGATGGTTCCTGAGTTGACAGAGACGTTTTGAAACTCACTCCCTTCGTGGTTGTGTTTGTTCCCCTTGTAACCTGGAGTTTATGCTTTTATCTGGAAACACATTTCAAGTGTTACCCCAGAGTAGAACAATCGCTGTGTATCCCTGGAAAGCAGAGCTGCGATTTAGTGTATTGTCAGTGTATTGTCTTTAAGCACTCTTGAAAACTTTCTTCGGAGGAGGATTCGTTCATACTAAAGTTATTGGGGAAAAAAAAATCTCAGGTTCACAAGTGGTGAGACCACTCTGGCATGCCGGCCTCAGAACAGCCCAGGGACTGCAAACAGCTCGGCACTGGAAATCCCCTTTGTACTGATAAAAAAAAAAAAGTTGTGGGTTTGTCAGGAGCTTGAAAGTGAAAATATGAGGAAGTCCACTTGGATCTATCTCCTTTTCGCATCCTTGCATGCTCTGCTTGGAGGCTGTAGGGTTTTGCAGCCTTTAACTGAAGTCTGTTACTGGCTCAAACTAAGCACGGTGCCCCCAGATAACAGAGCAGAGCAGACTTGTTCCGCTTGAGCACAGCAGTCGTCAGTTTTCTAGTAATTGGTAACCTAAAAAAAAGATAAACTGAAGATTGTAATTGCTCTAATTTCTCAGAAGTCACGGTCAAGTTTTTTTCTGGACCTGTATCCTTCTGATTTAGTCTGTTTATTTGAGCACACTGCTTCCCAGCCAAACTGTAGAATATAAAGCAGCTAGAAAACAGAACTGAGTTCTAATCAGCCTAAAAACAATTTTAAAAAAGTCAGCAAAAACTAATAAAAAAATATCTTGTTCTGCCCCAGATGAATGGGTTGCTGATTGTGTTAAACACGCTGCAGCTTGATTTTTCAGATGAGCTTTTGATGTTGCTTAGTCAGGAAAAATGATGAATTTGCTCAGTTCTGTTTTGAATTACCAGACTGCAGAGCCTTCATTAAACATCTAAAGCCAAAGGAAAATACGCAATTAGCATTTGTTTCACTTTTGAAGTATTAGGTTTTTCAGTCGTTTTGAGAGAAATAGGAAATCAAAATACCAAATAAAAGCCGTGTTTTTTAGTAAATTAATTGCCATTAAGTGGCAGCATGACAGGCTGGTTGTCCAGCGGAGCTTGTTTTCAACGGGGCTTCACTTTGTATCCACAAATCCTGCAGGAGGATTTGCTTGGCGATGTTTTTTTCCCAGTAATTAACAACCAAAGCAGAATAGGACACGACCCAACAGGCGTTTTGCTTTGACGCACTTTTCCATCCGTTCCTGCGTCGGTTTGGGTTGTGAGACTCTAAGGTGAGTTTTGTGATCGGTGAAATACGGTGTGAGCCTCAGATGTGGAGTGAAATCCAATAGCTGCAAAGCTGATTGCTGTAAGCAGCCTTGCTGAGGCGCTGTTTTTACTGTCTCTGCCTGATGCGTCAGGTTGGCTCCCATCCTCCGATGCAAGACTTCCCAGCCACTCCACACGCTTACCAGGCAAGAAGCTTCCCTGTCCTCTTTTTCTTGGTGTCTTTTTATCTTCTAACCCTTTCACAGGAGCCCGTGATCTCAACCTTAGGAGTGTTTGTAAGGTGAATCCTTCAAGCATTTGGGGGATCGTTTTGAGCAATCAGTTTTAGGGCAGATAGCAGTACTGAAGCTTTGGTTTCTTGTGTTTCAGAGCAAGCTTCTCGAACGTTTATTGTTCTGTTAAAGCTCGTATTGATACTTTTTTCCAGATGCCTGTGTAGATGATAGAAACTGCCCGATTTCACAGCTGTTTTGATAACCAAGGCTTTTTCCTGGGGCATCCTGTGCACCAAGGTTTCCCTATAACCACAGACCCTGTTGGTCTTGTTGAAAATGAGGACTAAGTCTATTTTAAAGATGCATAATAGTATTACTGTAGCCTGCTCTTTATTTTCTACTTTTTTAAACCATTCCTGTGGATCTATAAAGGGGGCAAGTATTTCCATGGCTGTTCCATCCTAATAAAGCTTTTTGCTTAAGGCAGGACAAAACAGCTTCATGGCACTGTACTCATTAAGAATACCAGAGGTGTTTTGAGTGAGCATTGGGAGAAAGTTTGGGCTTTTTCCCCTGCAATACTGTTGCTAAATACTAGTTATGTAAGGAAGGTAGGTGCCTGCAAGTGGTTCTCCGTTGCATTCCTGTCAGTTTGGGCTGTTGCCAAGAGAACTTTCCAGCTGTTACACAAATTTTCTTTGGAGTGGAGTTAATAAAGTGCAGTATTATGAGCTTTTTTCTTAAAAGAATCTGCTGGTCTTACTTATCCAGTTGTAAGATGTGTTTAATATTAAACAAAAAATAAATCTGCACCTCTTTTGCTGATGCCAGCTCTATGGGAGGCAACAACAAGTTATAAATAAGCAGCTTGTTTGTTGCTAGGGGCTGGTATTAAAATCTGCTGGTATTGATGTCCAAGCCACTTTCTAAAAACTTCTTGTGACTTCAGAAGTTTTGATACTGAATCTTTTCGTGTGGTTGTTTTGCTACATTTGCTTTGCTTTTAATTTAATACATTTACTAATATATCAACACTAAGTCAATCCTATTGCATGTGTTTTGCATTAAATAGCATAGTAACATGAGCAGAAAAAAAAATGTATTTTGTATTAGAAATTTATTCTTCTCTAATGCCTGTTTTCAATTATTTCAACTTTGCTGTCCAAAGCTGGGAGGGGAAGGATTGGAAATTTTAGTTTGCAGGCTTTTGAAAGCAGTCTTTGCAGATAACACGATTTCTTGAGGCATAGCTCACAAAGTCAGAGGTGGGAAGGTTCAGCTTCTGGAATTCGAAAGAAATCTGTTCCTCTCTTGCCAGTAAAATATAAATGAGCAAAAAATGTTGCAAAACATCAAAGTCCTGACCATGTGTTGCATACCCCAGCTGCCTCTCGTTGGGATGAGCCCTTTGTGTGACCTCGCTGTGCTCCCTGTCCCTATCTTAGGTGACTCCAGGGCGCTCTGGGGGGTTCCACAGCCAGTGGGGTGCTGAGACCGGGAGCTCCCGCAGCTGCTCTTTCCTGAACCTGCTGTGTGCTGACTTTGGGATTGCAAACTGCTTCCCTGCACTTCAGAGTAGTCGATGTCTAACCACAGGGCTGGTTTTTTGACTGCTAGTTTGAATTAGGAGCTCTTCCTTCATAGTTGTAAGCCCTTGTTTTGCATCATGCCGAGATGCAAAGTTTCCTCTTCCAAGGTTCGTGTTACTGAAAAAGTATTAAATGGATTTTTTTGCTTTTTAATCCCTTACTTTGTTGCTGCCCCACATTGTGACTTTTTGGGTAGATGGTATTCCCTCTGTGTCAAATTTCATGGTCTAGCAATTCACAGGATCGCGGAATGTCAGGGGGTGGGAGAGCCCTCAAAAGATCATCCAGTCCAACCCCCCTGCCAGAGCAGGATCACCCACAGTAGGTCACACAGGAGCGTGTCCAGATGAGTTTTCTTTCAAATTGCTTTTAAAGCTTCTAAGGGGAATGGAAGGGAAAGCACTGTGTAAATGTGGAAGTGGCCGTGCTGTCTTACAGGTGCTTGTCCTGTGTTTGGTCAACTGGGGCAGCTGAAGGAATGCTGCCCAAGTGACGCCTCTTACCGGTTTCTTTTACTTCTTCGGCAGCTTCCACCCGTTTCGTGAAGTGTGAAAAGTGCCACCACTTTTTCGTGGTGCTGTCGGAGGCCGACACAAAAAAGAGCATCATTAAGGAGCCCGAGTCAGCAGCAGAAGCTGTGAAATTGGCATTCCAGCAGAAGCCCCCACCTCCACCCAAGAAGGTACGGTTCTGCGTTTCACCACAGAGCTTCCTTGGGTGGCTGCAGGGTGAGGTGCTTTGCCTCTTAATCTGCGCCAGGTGTGTGATGGTCTCCTGTGAGAGAGAAACAAACAAGAAAGAGGATTAGCTCAAGATTAAACCTTTGAGGGCTACGTGACCCAGCAGAGCACTGATAATGGGAACAAGTGGATCCAATAAAAGTCGTTGGGCTTCTTTCCCTCTGGCTTTGTCTTGTGACTGAAGTCCAGTACCTTCATCTTCTCCTTGTGACCCCGAGACTAACCTCAACATTCACCAACGATAATCTCTCTTATTTCCTGCTGTGGCCTCGTATTCTACACCCTAGTGTTAGCAGCTTCTTTCTGTAATTGCTGAACCTTTTATTTGACCTGTTTCTGGGTAAGAACCATGATCAATCAGCTTTTGGCATCCTAAAGTCATTTGGTTTTTCTCCTCTGCGTAGTGAGGGAGCTTATTTTGCTTCTCAGTTCCTAGTGAACTGTAGGGATTTCTGAAGCCACGTGCGGCTCCTGGGTAGACCTTTTGTAAGACATTAAATATTTTTTGAATTTCTGTTCCTCTTGGGTGAAAATGACAGCAAGTTTAAATATTAATAGGGGAGAACTACCAGACACAGCACCACATTTCTCAGTAAACCTATCTACAGGAATGTATTTTGTATTTTAGATGTTGGGTTTCTATTTCTCAGTTCTATCATGGCTGGTTTAGACTAAAGTCCATCTGAAGCACCATGTACTGTTTTTTCTTTTTGGCTGCAAGGCGGTTTAGAAGTGTTATTTAAAACTGTGTTGTCTTTCAGATTTATAACTACCTCGACAAATACGTTGTTGGTCAGTGTTTTGCCAAGAAGGTGCTTTCAGTTGCTGTGTACAATCATTACAAGAGAATCTACAATAATATCCCAGCTAACCTGAGGCAGCAAGCAGAAGTTGAAAAGCAGACTTCTTTAACACCGAGAGGTTTGTATGATGTTCGGTATTTTTCTGGTCAACTAAAACGTAACCATTTCAGGGCTCTGACTTAAGAAACCTGAGAAAGGCTTGACCTCAGCACTAAAGTTTGTTTAATTGGAATGAGCTAACAGAATTTATGTTGGATTTAATTTTCACTATATGCGAACTTGTGGTGATTTATTTAGCAGTAATCAAGAAGGTTCATGATTGCCTACCATGTTCACATGGGTAGCATTTTTTTACTGACACATGCTATTAAGTATTTAACTTTATATGAGCCTCGTAAACTTTTCTTTCTAATCTCATTTACTGCTTAACACTAAATCTGCTGCTTAACCTGCAATCCACGGTGCAGATCGTGAGGGCGATATTTTGCACAGTGAATTTGATGAATAGCTCGTTTTCTAACCTGCCTTGCTGCTCTTGGCAGCGTCTGGTGGTCACCAAAGCATTGTTCCATATCTGGCAGGTGTAGATGGGGTTACTCTTGGCAGTACTTTTGCTACTGAGTAAGTGCGTAGCTATGTTGATCTAACTTATTTTTAGAAAAAGGATTAAGTTACCATCTCTGATTCAAAATGTACCTTGATATTTATTTATTTTTTTCAGGTGTTTTGCAATAAGTAGTATGCTAAGCAAACAATTTTCTCTGGGTTTGGAATTTGTCTAAAGAAGTATTTTAACTGAGGGGGAAACAGTAGTAGCGCTTTTCTGGTAGTGGTAGGAGAGCAGTTGTGTACCTGGCACAGAGAAGTTCCCGAGCCTCCGCAGGAAGATAAAATAGTGCCCACGCAGAGGGACTGGCAGTGAACATCAATAATGGAAAGCACATAGAAATCAGTGAAATCTTCCGTTGTAACACTTGGATATAAATGGGAGGGTTTAAGGAAGCCTTTTGAAAACTGAGATATATTGTAGCGTTTTTTTCCCTGTGGATTTAAACTAAAATCTAATCAGAGCTAACAGACTGTTAAGTCTGTTAAGTGTTTTAAGTAGTGGAAAGCTTGGTGTCATTTTGAAAGCAGGCAGGTTGGGCTTTGGGTTAATCTTGACAGCAATAAAATCTGTGTGGGGATTTCTTGTTAGGAACACGTTCATGCACAGCAACGAGGTGTATTCAGAAGAGGGCAAGAGGTGGAGGATTTATAAGCTTTTATAAACTTATTTTTTATTACTGTTTTCATCCTCTCTCTTAGAATTAGAAATCAGAAGACGGGAGGATGAGTACAGATTTACAAGTAAGTGAACTCTCTCCTCATGTCCTCCTCTGCAATATCTACTCTTACGATGTGAACGTAGACCAGTGTTTAGTGCCCGCTAGTTTGAGATGCTGCCTAAAATCCTGTTTGCTTTTCTTCTGCAAGGACACTTCACTGAGCGTATTTTTAATGCAGGTGACTAGGATCTGACTCTTTATGTAGTTCTAGTTGGAAAGCAAGTAAGTTGTAAAAATACCTTGGAAGTTGGTTAAGTAATTGTCTGTCCTTAGAATTATTCTCAGGAGACCAAGTGAAAAGGGATTACTTCTTATTTATTTGTTTTACTTAGATCTGAGGTGTGATTATAATAGCAATGCCGTACAGAATATAATGTGATGTAGAATAAAGGAAGTTAGGCACTTGTTTTCTGCAGGATATTTGTACTCTTGAAAGGCACTCTCACCTTGAACCTCGGAATGCCTCTTTAGTTGTTTTTTTTTTTAATTTTTGGAGGGAGTCTGGTTGATGTCAGTGATGTTTTGTTTTCAGTCTACTGGAACTTCTCACTGGCTATTGAACTACTTCTTTAGTGGCGCGTAGATCAATTTGTAATCCCAGTTAACACCTCTTCAAAGCTGTTTTCTTAATGTTCAAAATTCTACCCTGCGAGCCAATTTAAAACTAGTGCTCTGAAAAAAAAGAAAATCCAGCTCTGTGTGTAGCTAGAAAACCTGTAACAACTGAACTGAGACAAGTTTTTAAGTCTTGAGAGTATACCTGTGCTATGCTTTTCTAATTGTTATAGTGTATCATCATACTGTTTAATCTTAGAGCTGAACACGTTGGTTTTATTTCTTCTTGTGTTAAAATAAATAAATAAATTATAGTTAATTTTTTAGAGGCTGAAGATTTCTCTTGTTTTTAGTGGAGAGGAATAGTTTTAGATATTCCACTGTACCCCTGGAAATTCTTTTCATATGTGCAAAAAATATGATTGGAACTTATGCTTTCTTGATAATTGTGCCCCATTTCCTTTTACAGTCCTGTCTGTAAACTTCTGTAGGGACAGGACTAGAGATTTGCAGAACAAAAGAGAGGAACCAGGCTTTTATTGTCTGTATTTTAAGGTAATGGCAGAGCTTGTCAGTGCTCAAACAGTGCTGTTACTGTTCTCTTCAGAACTGCTGCAGATCGCTGGAATCAGTCCACACGGGAACGCTTTAGGAGCATCGATGCAGCAACAAATGAACCAGCAGATACCTCAGGAAAAACGGGGAGGAGAAGTACTAGATTCACCCAATGATGACATAAAACTTGAAAAAAGTAATATTTTGCTGCTTGGACCAACTGGATCAGGTATACGGTTGGGTGTTTTTATAGGGGTCAAGGTTTTTGTTAGAACTGATTGTTAAGGAATGTTTTCCTCTATTGTGATGATTCCAGTTTGGTGTATAAAAACCTAAACTGTGAGTTCCAAATTGGGATTTTGTGCTTTAATGCCTTGGTAACAAGCTGAACTAAATGGCCTTGAAAAGGAAGGAGGTCTGGTCATGTGGTTTCCCTTTTTTTTTGGGGGGGGAGTGGATTTTAAATGCCTATATTATTTACTAACTGATTAAAAGGCTTAAATCTCCCTAAGCTGAAATAAGACACATTGAAAAATTCTCTGCTTTAGATGTCGAGCTGAGATGCTGTGCCCAGTGTTGTTTCATCTCTGGGACAAATCAGTTACAGGGAGACTAAAAGAGAAATAATATTTGTGTTTTCCTAGGAAATGGGAGTGTTTGTGCTGAAGTGATGAGTGTTTTGCAGACTATTTGGGAGAACATTCACTGAGTAATATTTTAATTTTATTTTCTCCCCGACTTCAAAGCAGGAGCAGTTGGACTTTGCACTGCAGCCTGAGTTGTCTGCAAAGGACTACTGATTTATTTAATCTTTAATCTATGCAAGTACATGAATTTTGGTTTTTATATCGTGTGACATTTTACTTGTGATACTGTATGCATTTCAAGCCGCCTCAGATGTGCAGTATTAATCTAATGCAGAAGTACAGCTTGCCAATACGAAAACCACTGTTTATGAAAAATGGCTCCTTTGGAAAATATTTTTATATGAATATATCAGCATTCTGACACTAATTCAAAATGTCTTAATGACCATAATGGTGATCCTGTGGTAAATATTTGGGAGTTTCGAGCTCTAAAGAAATTACAACGTAGGGGTTTTGTTTTATCAGGTAAAACCTTGCTGGCTCAGACTCTAGCTAAATGCCTAGATGTGCCATTTGCTATCTGTGATTGTACCACCCTCACTCAAGCTGGCTACGTCGGGGAAGACATTGAATCTGTCATTGCGAAACTCCTGCAAGATGCCAACTACAACGTAGAAAAAGCTCAGCAAGGTAAACTTTCACGGTGCGGTTCCTGAAGTTCATTCGTAGTCTTTGTAATCTCACTTAAGTGCTCTAAACGTTGAAACCAGAAGAATTTCTGGGACTTACATTCTGTTGTGTGCACCTGAGTTCAAATCGGAAATAATAAACCTGAAAAGAGCTCTCAGCATATCCTGTAGTTTTTGTTCCTGTCCATAGCTGGACATTTTTGCAGTCTACAGTATGGAAGTAGAGTAGCCTACTCCTGTCTTATCTTCTCACCTGTGTGTAAGTTCCCAATTCTCTTAAAGAACAGAGTTGTCCTTCAATTCATTTTCTATAACTGCAGGAATTGTTTTTCTGGATGAAGTAGATAAGATCGGCAGCGTTCCTGGTATTCATCAGTTACGGGATGTCGGAGGAGAAGGAGTTCAACAAGTAAGTACTTCCGTGGAGTGATTGTACTCCGTAAGCAAACAGCCTGTCGAGTCTACATATCATCTTATTTGGCATGTGTGTGGAGTCAGAGTTCCTTAATTATCTTCTTTCTTCATTTAAAAAAAATAAATCTCAAAAGCAACTCGAGACTGCTTCATATAGAAACTTCTAAACTGAAAATCTTTGCAGCATTCAGATAACAAGTTGCGTGATGTAGGGAAGGACAGAGGTACCTTTCTCCATGTCAACAAAACTTTTAAAGAAACTCCTTGTGAAGGGCAGCTCATGATGTGCATGGGAGTCACAGCAAAGGAAGATTCTTGTCTATCCTTGAGTAGGATTGTCTCATATGGAAACCTGATGTCTTTAGAGACTTAACTATAAAGGTGTAAGAGAGCAAAAAATTCTAAGTACATCTGTGAAAGTAAGCACAGTATGGTGTGCCTTCTGACATGATGCTACACCGTGGAATTTTATATTGCTTATTTCTTCTTTCCTTCTTAGGGCTTGTTAAAATTACTAGAAGGCACAATAGTAAACGTTCCAGAAAAGAATTCCCGTAAGCTACGTGGAGAAACGGTGCAGGTTGACACAACAAACATCCTCTTTGTAGCTTCTGGTGCTTTTAATGGTCTTGACAGAATTATCAGCAGGAGGAAAAATGAAAAAGTGAGTGTGCGATTCTGTAACGTGACAGTTACATAAAGAAAACTTAACTGTTGCAGTTCTGTAAGCATATGACACATTTGTTTTGCAGTATCTAGGATTTGGGACACCATCTAATATGGGAAAAGGCAGAAGGGCTGCAGCAGCAGCTGATCTGGCAAATATAAGCGGCGAGTCCGATCCGCATGAAGATATTGAGGAGAAGGATCGTTTGCTGCGTCACGTGGAAGCCAGAGATCTCATTGAGTTCGGCATGATTCCCGAGTTTGTGGGACGGTTGCCTGTTGTGGTTCCTCTGCACAGCCTTGATGAGAAAACCCTTGTGCGGATTCTTACCGAGCCACGAAATGCTGTGGTTCCTCAATACCAGGCACTGTTCAGCATGGATAAGGTTTGAATTTTTGTTGGACGGCTCTTCAGCGTTCTTGTTTATGAATAGAGCATTAAAGTGATCCAAAATGTCAACTGAAATTGCTTCTTTCCCTCATATATGCACCTTCCCACTCCAGGAAAAAAAAAAGAAAAAGTAATTTAACTTGTTAAAACCTGACTGGTTTAGATTGGATAACCAAATCAACTAAACTTACTTTTTTTCTCTCTGTAGTGTGAATTAAATGTAACTGAAGATGCGTTGAAGGCTATAGCCAGACTGGCCCTGGACCGAAAAACTGGTGCGAGAGGTCTTCGTTCTATAATGGTGAGTTAAATCTTGTACTGGGTAAGTGAAGCTACCTACAGTCGTGGGTATAGACCTAATTGTGACAATATTCACTCAAAACCTCACTTGGTTCTGGGTCTTGCATTGATACAGGAAGTCTCTCTATAAAGCTGGGTTTTTGGAATTCTAAGAGAACCCCTCCAGCTCTGAAAATCTCTCACTAACTGGACTGTGACGGAAAAGAAGGCAGAAATGTATTTTTTCCCTTTATTTTCTTGCAGGAGAAGCTGTTGCTGGAGCCCATGTTCGAAGTGCCCAATTCTGACATTGTATGCGTGGAAGTTGACAAAGATGTTGTAGAAGGCAAGAAAGAGCCAGGATACATTAGGTAAAATCCTGAGGGGAGTATCAGAGCAGATGAGTGGTGCAGCCAGGCAGGTGTTGTGGTGTTTGCTGTACAAACGAGCGTATAAAAACCACAAAATCGGGCTCACAACCTGAGAAGGATCCAATTCTCTGTACACAGCTGAATTAGTGCCTCTTCTGTCCTATAGACTTTGGGTTTGTACTGCTTTAGTTTTTAAATAGAATTTTAAAAATAAACTTACACATGACGTTACTTGTGTGTGTGTGTATACTTGTAGAAATAGAAGTAAATCACAAGCATCGTGAGTTAACACTAAAAAACTTGAAGTTCTGTTATGACTGTAGTAAAGTTTCCGAAACAGAATTCTTCCTCCTCTTACTTTCTGCCGCTGATGTTCTGTTTTTTTGTTGTTGTTTTGGTTTTTTTTAATGCAAGCTCCAAGCTGCTGAAGTTTTCTTCTCCATCACTCTTGCAGCAGCAGAGAGCCACAAAGGCTCGTCTGTTGATTTGCTGAGCTTTAGTTAAAATAATCACTGCAATGTTGGGAAGATTGTGTGACCCTAACAATGGGGTGGAGCAAATCTGGATTTAAAAAAAAAATAAAATCTTAGTGAACCAAAGGGGTGGAGTTGTGAGGGAATGGTTCAAAACACAGATGTGAAAGTTAGGAACACCAGCCTGGTTTCTACCCCTGACAGCTTTTTGGAGTGACTTTCTCCAGTGCGATACGTGCTTTGTGTTCTCCTGCCCGTGTTGACGCTTGGCTCACGGGGAAAGACTGGAATGCAAAGTGTTACGCTTGCACCAATCGTTGCTTTAAGTGACCTTGTAGAGCACCCGCGTTCATATTTGCTGGAAATATTAAATTTACTGATGAAATCAAAGGAGTTAACTGCGTTCAGTAGCCTTTTGATTTTCAGTAATGAGAGTCTGTACTGGTGGCAGCCTAAATATGCACCTCGCCAGTTCAGACCAGAGGGTTGTTGAGCAGGTGGATGCTTGTCAGAGTGTTTGTCGTTGGGGCACTGTGCAGGTGGCATTTTTACTAGAAGCCACGGAGGCTGTCTCAGTTCTTTTCCTCGCTTTCTAAAGTTTCTGATCAGTTTGTTTTAATTGTAGGGCTCCCACTAAAGATTCATCTGAAGAAGAGTACGACTCCGGCGTCGAGGAAGAAGGCTGGCCGCGACAAGCAGATGCTGCAAACCATTAAATACTGTCAGAACGCTCGCCCGCGTGAAGCGCACTTGGTTATTTCCTTACGATTGCCTCTGGCTTCGGTCTGATATTGGATCTCTCTCGGCTCTGATAAGGAACTTTTATTAGATAAATCAGATTGCGTATTTTATTGCAACACCGCGTTGATTGATTGGATGGACATTGTGTGGACTCGAGTGACATAATGTTCAAATATGAATTGTATATTACACTCGTTCGATTAAAATGTATAGCAAATACAGCAGCACCTGGACTGCTCTTTCTAGAAACTAAACCAGCGATGCAGGTGCTGCCAAGAGTTAGATTTTACAATAATGTTACTCTACAAATGGGAAATCAAGACTAATAATTAGTAGAGGGTGAATAGTAACCTATTAGCTCCTCGTATGACTCGCAGGGGGTTACGTTCAGGTCAGTGTTAGGTTTTTTTTGCTGGTGTTTGAAGCCCGGCGGATGCTGGAGTGACTTGTTACATTGGGGAGCGGAGGGGAGAAAGCCCTGTACGATGGGGTTTTGGAAAAACTGGGACACTCTTTGTGACACTGCTGGAAGGTTTTGCGTAAATGTGACACTAGATTGTTACAGTAATTTGAATGCGATATCAACTAATACTCTTACCTTTACCTCTCCATTAGGAGTAAAGTTTCACTCACCTTGAATACTGTGAAAGAAGGTGAAGTCAATAATTTGCTGATTTTTCCAGGGGGGGGTAAACAAGATTTCTAGGAAGCGGTAAGCCACTGAATTGGGATGAGAAGTCGACATAAATTTTTAAATATTAATGTTCTAATATAGTACATTTTGTTTAACGTATTGGAACTATCATGCATCAATTTTTTGGTGCCAGGTATTTGCCCGACCTATCTTATAACGTTAAGAGATGAAAGAAGTAGATGTATAATATTTTTGATGTAATCAGTAGCGATTGTTCACATGACACAGTGCTGTTCTAAGTTATACGCTCAAATGCTAGTATTGCATCGTGTAGATTTGTCTTTGATTTTTAGTCTCACAGCAGAGCAATCCTCCCTCTTCTGTTCTACACCGAAATGAATTCAATCCTTTAGGAAAGTCTTTGTAAAAACACTAAAGGACCTGTATGTTTTTGATTTGCTTCAGGAATTAAAATTATCGCGTACAGCTTTGTGTTGTCCTTCGCTGATCTGCGGACTTCAGTTTTACTGAGCCTTTTTTCCCTAAATTTCAATTCATGCTATTGAAATAAAACTTCCATCGTTCTTTTCAGTCCAGTAGATGATTTAGGACAGGAAAGGATACTGCAGATCTGTTGACCCTGGTTTTGTTGTTAATTTTTGCCATGTAAATTCTATGTAATACTTGTGTTCTTTCCTAGGAGCAGTGTGACATGCAGGTGCAGCCAGATGCAACAGATGCGTCCCTTAGGACTTCAGGTTTTTTCAGGTTAGATGACCCACTAATGCTTCAGAAAAAGCTGTGGTTGGAGTTGAGGATATTGCTAGGAGAAGCTTCGTCCCCTCCAAATGATTGAATCTGGGAACTCTCTGTGACTGCATCCTCACTTTCCTTTTTGTAGAGTGAAAAAAAATATAGCCGCTTTTAACTCTGACTCCTGTAATTCAAATCCTTTTTTTAAACCGACTGAAAAAAACCAACCCACAACGTTTTAGGCAAAACTGTTCAACAACTTAGTTTTGAAAGTTGTTTGGAGTTATGTAACCGAGAACCGTTTTTAAGGACACAACGTGCTGTGTAACTACAGTTTGTACTTCACCTCTGGCGTTTGAATAAAACAAAGCGAATATTCGAACAGCGGAGAACTGTCATCCCTGACGTCAGCCCCGGGAAGGGTGAATTTTATGTGTGTTTGAGGCTTTGGGTGGTTTTAAGTGGATTTAGAATTAGTCTTGGCCGAGG